ACCGCTGTAGGTCCGGTTTTGTGAATGGGTACAACGTAAGATTTCTTCCAGCTATTTGGATATGTTTCACTCCTTATCGAAGTTGAAAATATCTTGAGAAGAAGTAGATTCATGTCATTTCCACCATTTTTTAAGAGGACGGAAGACATTCCATCTGGGCCGGGAGTATTAGTAAGCTTAAGAGTTGTGATAGCTTTATCGATTTTTTGGGCGTTTAAGACTACATCGCTTAAACACTTTTCTGTTTTACGAGGGAAATCTATATCCTGGTCATTTTCTAGGGTGTACAGTTTGGCAAAGTGCGTGCTAAACACCTCACATATATCCTCAGCACTTTCGTGAGTAATGCCGCCTAGGTGTATTATTTTTGGATATGTTGATTTGGAGTTAGTTAACCTACTTTTGAAGAGTTTGGCTGTTTCTCCAGTGTTATGTGGCGACTGAATTGCCCGCGTTTCTTTATTCCTAAGACTTAGATTTTTTAACTCATGGATTCTAATGAGGATTGTTTTGATAGCGATTAACGACGATAAGTCGTCATGACCATAGCAACTTAATGAACGCTTTCGCAAACTTCTTAATGATATTGAAATAAAATCACCTTGAGGGATTTTGAATTTAATCAATTTCACAGGGGCTATGACATCATTACCAGACTGTATATTGTTATAGAAGCTTTTAAGGAGTTCCTCTAAGGAGTCATTAGTAAAGTAGGAATCCCATTTAGAGTATCTAACCAATTCCTGATACAAGTCCCAATCGACATATGTGCATAGTCTTACAGGTGTCCGGCTAACTTCGTTTCTGTGTATAGTTTCTGGAGAAATATTAAACGAACATGAAACTATTTTATGATCGCTACCTGGGAATTCATGTCCCACACGAATTGTAGATGGTGCTACGTTGATCGTGAATATAAGATCAAGAATGTTATTGGACCTAGTGGGTACATTTATATGTTGCGTCCATCCCCCTGTGATGATGGAATTAGGAAGATTATCATACCTCGAGGGTACACGAAGTGTACGCCATGATATATCAGGCAAATTGAAGTCATCTCCAATTATATTATAACCGAAGGGAAGATTGGATGCAACATTAAATATTTTACTGAGCACGTTATCGTATTCGCGGTTGGATGATGGCAGTCGGTATACGCAACCTATAAGGACAGGTTTACTTCTGAGAACTTTTGTTTCGACCCACACCGAATCATTAAGTTGTGACAGAATAGGGTGACTAAAATGCAGTGCACAAATAAGTTGTTTAACGTATATAAGTGTTCCACCCCCACGACCTGTTTCCCTATCCCCTCGAAAAAGATTGTACTTATTAATTGATAGGCTATCATCCGTAATATCACTTGAGCACCAGGCTACAGTGATCATGATCAGCGACGGATGGCATATAGAGGCTAACGTACATAATGCTAAGTGTTTGTTAAGAACTGATCTAGCATTTATGCAAAGGAAGTGGGTGAAGATAAGATCTTGAGTCGCCAATCTGCGTTCTGGTTTTTCGCAATGGTTAATACGAATTGTTCCTGAAAGTCTTCGAGGGACAGCGTGAGGTCCAGCGTAGTAAGAGCTGGGCATTGACAGTTTCTGGGAGTTGGCTGACATACATATTTATATAATATTTTTATTCATTTAGGGTCTCAGTCGAACATAGAGCTTCGACCTAGGGGCTTGAAGTTTCGGTAGCAGCCATGTTTGTTTCACCAGATGAAGTTGCTGGCCTCATGCTGAACCTACTCCTCTTAGCAGTCTTATTACTGTGTAAATTCCAGAGAACCGATTGTAACATGCGCCATGCGAATAACTCTTGAAGATTGAGGTCTGTAGTCTTATCGTAAGCCTAAGGAGAACCATATTATTTCAAGGAAACTCAATCAATTCCAAGACAAACCAAACGGTTCCTAACAAAATTATGTTGATAACAGAATGTTAGAGAACTGGAAGGCTACTGTTTTGTTAGGCTAAATGTATCAGGCAAATATAGTTCAAACTTTCAGATATGAGGTTATCTGACGTTTAAATACCAATAGCACAGTGACTAAACAGAAATCACTCTTAGTCAACAAAATTTCTGTACCAATCGTCCAGCAGTGATCTGAAACAGTGAGCAAAAACACCAGTTATCGGGGTGATTACACAAGTGCCGTGTGCCAGTAAGAACAAGGGCCTGAGGCCAACTGACCTTATTACATATAGGAAAGAGAAGAAGCACCTTCATATTGTCTGCTCCTCTCGTCATCTCAGCATACCACTCCATGCGTTCAACCTTAAATAAGACAAGTCTAAGGCTTAAACATACGAAAACGGCCTGACTTATTTTGCCTTACACTATCCTCTCTCCTATCTCAGCACTATCTGCAGGTGACTGTGTCTGCAGAACTTGTTTGAACTGAATCATTCTGTCGAAAACAGTTATATTATACTGAAATAAGTTACTAGGCGATGAGAAGAATTAGGATCGTGGATCAAACAGATGCAGCTGTGAGGAATCAAAGGAGTTAGTTGGTTCATCCGAATCTCAGCCATTTCGCTTCCGATGATCAATTTGTTTTCCTATGAGGACTGAATCTATTTGCGAAGGAGTGAATTTTTAAGGAGCAAAAGTGTGACAGTGTCTTGTGGTGGGGTTGTATATCACTATGCTTTACAATACCTTCGTTAATAAATACATTCTTGAACCACTGTTAGGGTTACACTATCCCTTTCCTACTTGGGGTGACGTTAAGGACATCCTAGTTAGAGGAGTATGCCAGAGGATCATCAGGTAGTGTGGTCAAAGCTCAGGTATAGTGGAATAGATGGCCACACGTAAATCGCTAGTGATAAAGTGAGTAGTGGGGTGACCGCAGTGTCTCATTTTCGCAGGCTGGAAGATTGCGTCGAAAGGCGTATGAGGAAGAAACCAAGTCGGGTGACTTTGCAATGCACACCTACTTCACCTTCAGTATCCTCATTTATGCAACTTACAAGGATAATATTTTATGTCTACAGACTTCAAAGTAACATTTCTAAAGCTTAAAGCAATTAGTTCCCTTTATGAATTTCGACAACCCAATAAGAAGACGTAGTTTATCTGAAACGTGTAATGTGTTGGCACAACACATTTCGGACATTCTGATCACACACGTACTTGTCATACATAGTTTTTATGGAAGGCAAGAAGGCATGAATAGTTACAATACAGGTCATATTGTGTACAGGTCAAAATCACAAATAATGGTTGGGGAGACGCAAAAGGTGTGGGTAAGAAAGATAAGAGAGGAAAAACAAGGCAAAGAAGAGGTTTGAAAATATTATGAAGTAAATTAGACCTTGGTTCTAAATTGGAATACCAAGGTAGGTTTAGGGTTATAGCAAATAACTTTTGGACGCATAAGACAGGTTTAGGTCCTTTTATGGCTAAGGCTTCAATGAATAACACTTTAATGATTCACCTTAGCACTTTTCTAAAACAGCTTACAATCCCTTGTAAACGTTGTACTTACCTCAATATTGGTTGGTTATCGTATGCCCACAACCACGGGTTGAAAACGAAACGAATTCGATTTTCCCGCGAAACCTGGAGGACAACTGTACAATTCAATAACTATACGGCCTGGTTCAGACAATGAGTGTATTTATATATAAATCAAACATTTAGCTGTTGAAACATTATTAACTTGTATACAATCTACGATTTGAGATTATATCATACTTGATCGTGCCTGTAAAAATGGCGTGCATTTTCATGTAAATTTATCTTTATATGAAAATATAAGTTATTATCATTAAAAAGTTGTTTTCACCTTAAACCTACCTTGGTAATCCAATTTAGAACCAAGGTCTAATTTACTTCATAATATTTTCAAACCTCTTCTTTGCCTTGTTTTTCCTCTCTTTATCTTTCTTACCCACACCTTTTGCGTCTCCCCAACCATTATTTGTGATTTTGACCTGTACACAATATGACCTGTATTGTAACTATTCATGCCTTCTTGCCTTCCATAAAAACTATGTATGACAAGTACGTGTGTGATCAGAATGTCCGAAATGTGTTGTGCCAACACATTACACGTTTCAGATAAACTACGTCTTCTTATTGTGTTGTCGACATTTTTGAGACTGTCAGTGGAATCTATGTAAGTTGACCGGTCCAGTTGATTACCCAGGTGTGTTTCTCTCAACTAATTTTCCCATTTTGGCAGGATGCTTCTTTCAGGCTATACTTTACAAACCTTTATTTTGTAAATAAAATCTTGGAAATAACGTACGTTAGTTTCTAAAATTACACTTCATAAGATGACAGGTGTCTACAGGTACACATGTTACGCTTATACACTAGTGCGAATGTATATCATCTGACTCACAAGGTACCTGTCCCACTTAGGAAGCACTACTGTGGGGAGGCTAATCAGAACAAGTTGGTCGTCCAAAGAACGAGTGCTGAAGTAATCCTGAGGGAAAGTGAGAGTAGCTGAACTAAAGCGGCAAAGTAGGACTGATTGGTACTCTATTGAGAGAACCCTGCCAATTCAGAATCTTTCAGCATTCAACAACTGCAGGAAGAAGTGTGAGTTTTGATTCCACTAGTACTATTCACCCATTATTTTAAACTACGGATAAACACACCTGCTTGATTGGAGACGTTGAATTCACTTAAACTGGATGACAAAGTAATATTAATTTTAGTCGGGAAAAAGGACTGCCTCTTTATATATGTGTGGAAATTTCCTGCAGTGTAATTCAGAATACTGTTAATGAACGTGTCTTATAACTGACTTTGACCAGAGTTGGGAAAATGATTTTCTTAACTACATCATACAGGGTAAAATAAATTTTTATTTTGAAGGCAGAAACTATTCTACCAGCGAAACTACTGTCTCTATACACAGCGACGTGAGAATTCAATTCGCTTTATTCGCTTCACTTCGCATTGCATCTCGCCGAGGCGGTTATCTTGAATGGGAATCTAAAAGCTGTATTTCACATAGATTTATCGTAACAATGTCATTAGCCGGCCTCAGGAAACAACTGAATAAAGCCAATCAGGTTAGTTTTTATTTTTAACTTGATGGATTAAGTCCCCAGTGGTGGTTGTCTTTCGGGAGTAGGTTAGATAGGTTTGGAAATATGTTCACGATTTCGACATTTGATATCTGAAGACTCTTTTTGAAGCCCTTTACAGCTCTGGTTATAGCAGATTGTAGATTAATGTGAGAGTCGTTTTGGTTGTACCTTGGTGTTGTATTAGCTACTGGGTCGGTTAGCCAACCGTCCACCTGTATATTTTTAACCAGTTGAGATCCCAGGCATATTTCAGATGTCCGTAGACGAGTTCACATCTTCACTGATGCCTATTGTGTCGTATGTTATGGTTTTTAGGTGAGTGTGTAATTTCGTGTATGAATGTGTGTATAGGTATTTCGTTAGCTATATTATTTTTATCTCATTTAAGAGTTTTATGAAAGTTGTCCCTTGTTTCATGGATATCTCATTTAGATTTGTAGCATTAACTGTTTGCGCAAAACAGCGTTCATCTCCGGTATTTTGTTTGTCAGGAGTTGCAGCAGGATGTTTACGAGGTGCATTTCACAATGCTGAAATGCTTGCTATTTAATTTTCTTAAGAGACCTAATATTACGATTTATATGCGCCAAATGTTTCCTAGTCACTAAAAGCTCTCAAATTACTACTTGTTTCTCACACGGTATGTGAATACTTTGGCTCTCAATACTCCCCAGTTATCTCAGTCATGAAGTTGTATCGATTTATATGGCTAGAACACGTGTTACGCATGCCTCGCCACCGTCTTTCTTGGCAATCACTGTTGATTGACATTGGATTAAGTTGGAAAAATAAAGGGCGGTTGCATCAAAACATGGAATCAATCATGAAGTATTTGAGCCAGTCTAGTAGGGAGGTGTAAACTGCCTGGTTGGGGTCCTTGAAACTCCGAAAACCAACAGCTTATAACTGTTAGTGATATTAATCAAGACCTTTCTCAATGGAGCAGACGCATTCACTTTCTGTGAAGTCCCAGGTCCATTAAATCCTAGTAGTTTTCCATGTTAGAAGTCTTACTGGAACACATTTCTGCACGTTATAATTTTTGTAAAAATATTTTTTTATGCATTTGTGACTCATTGGCTTGAGCAATCGTTCTTAAACAGATAGGCCACGATTTCGATTCCCCTTTCCACTTACCAAAGCTTGGGCAGCTGGATAGTATTATCAGTCCCCACACCAAAAATGTAAATATTAGCCTGGTGCATGAAAAATCTGTCCTGGGTAATTGAGTGTATGTAACCTTTATTTACTACATGCAATGTGGCAAGTTACATCAATGCACTTCTGTCAAGCTTCTTCGTTGAAACCCAGTCAGTAAGTCGTGAACCGAGGGTTGTCCGTTGAAGTTACTGCAGATATCAGTGGCGATTTAATATATATATATATATATATATATATATATATATATATATATATATTACTGAAGGTGTAAAGAATATGATTTAAGTGTAATGGAAAGTTTCTTATATATCTGCTGAGCATATGTGGTGTCATAGCTGTTAACGGTACTTCAGCAACTCCAGTATAGTGTAAATATATATGTTTGAATCAAAGGCAAGGAATTTGCATATTTTCGGTCAACATAAACGAAACCATACAAAAACGTTCGTGTGGCATTTGCCGACTTATGTCATCTTTGGCGTAGATATCATATCCGGGTGTCGTTCAAAGGACGTGTGCACGACACAGTGGTTCTCCTTGTCCTCCTTTGTGGCTGAAAGGCACGGCTTCTGAAAGTGGAAGCTTTGAGAAGCCTAGCTGTCTTTGATGAGAAGTGTTTGCTTCCTCTTTCTACGGTTAAGCGGTATGATATAATAAGCAATATTGAGTTAGGGTTAGAGTGATAGATAAGGAGGGAAAGTTGGTCGATGAAGTTGCGAGCTACGTATTTGTTACGCGAATTGAGCCACCACCTTCCTCGATGAGCAATGTTATCTGACATTAGATTGTGTTGGAATGAGTTAGGGGGGGGTCAAATCAAAACCGAGCATTAGTCAATGACGTCTTTAATTGTTGGTATGAGCCACTTAAGGGAGTGCAGACTAACTGGCTTTGAGTGTTACTGATGAAGTTCAAAATGGATCTTAGTGACGCAGATGCATCCACTCTTTGTAACTTTTGATTTCAACATATTTATCAAATACTTATTTTTCTTGTATGCACATCAGATTTGAGAGTATGGAAACCTTTATTGCAGCTGATAATTTATACCATTTACTTCCGTAGGCAGTAAGATCAGAATATCTTTATAAAGATTAGACTAAGATTATTGAAATGCTCTTGGTAGCTGTACACAACAACTGTTCTTTGATTTTCCTTAACACTTTGACCACAAGGAGAGAAACTACTTAAGCCTGTAACCACTCATACTTACCTAAGTACGGATAGATGGGTAGATCATGTGAAAATCAAGCGTCATTGAAAATGATTGGAGTGAAATTCTGGGCGTTTTTAAACTCAGATAGGACTTGAACAGTGCATCGCCACTTTGTTCTATTTTCTGCCGTCCCCTTCAGCTGACTCCACAATTGCCCATAACCTCTCATCTTCTTCTCGCCACACGATCTCCATTTCACCGTAGCACCGATGACCTACTCGTCGCTCGCCATTGGGGTTTCACTCGAGTAATGGCCTGCGTTGTGCATGATGTCATTCGACGGTCTCCTCAATGCATGTCCGATCAATTCATCTCTATTTTCTCCTACATATATGTTGAGCAATCGGTTCTTGGTTGGTTTGTTCCCAGTGAGAGTTTCTTGTTACTAATTCTGTCTGGCCGGCTATTTGACCTTCAGTACGGAGCCAGTGAGGTGGGCGACTTGATAAAGTTCTGATATGACCTGTTGGAAATCCTTTACGTGACACACCAGCCAAGTTTCTGACCCGTATAGAAGGACTGACTTGGCATTGGTGTTGAAAATCCCAACGAATCTTGTTCTTCAGCTGAATGTGTTCAAAAGATTTCCAAACTGGTTTCATGTTGTTTGATGAAGTTGTATCTCGCCTTTCCGATTCTGGGTGGCTCTGACATTTTTTCCGTTCCGTCCGCGTATGTTGAAACGATGCTTCCTAGATGAGTGAATGAAGGAGGCAAACTCTGTTAGAGCTCTCCCTTTGATGCTGATTGGTGCTGGTTGTTGTTGTGGTTCTTTGGTTGATTATTTTCATCACCTCCATCTTCTGTATGTTCACCTGGAGTCCTAGAACTCAAAATTACACGGAACTTATCTCAATAGTATCAGAAAGGGTTAACATATATGAAATAAATAGTTTCTTATACTCCACACACCAGCTGCAATAAGTATGGGGTTTTCAAAGTCGTGTGTCCTGTAAGCAAACAAATATATTTATCTACTGATTGGCATTACCTTAATGACACGGTGTTGGAATTTTTTGTTAAATCTAAGACGGTTATTGTGACCGAAATTACAGCTATTTAATGAATGTTAGACTTAATTCAGCCGTTGACTTAAGGAGTTTGGGATGTTAACTAAGTGGAGGATTAAGCCAGCTGTTGCACCAAAGGTTTTGAAGTCCTGGGTCCTCACAACCAAGAACCTGTTACCCAACAAACATGTAAAAGGAAATGGATGGGAAATATACTGGGGATACCTTCAAGTGACGTCACACGTCGGGTCCACTAGTAGAACTCTAAATGGGTAGATGTAGGTTGGGTGTCCGAGGATGGCACTGGGGTGATCACGTGAAGGTGAAGTAAAAGCTTGTGGGGAGTTGTTGAGCTAGTTGAAAGTTGTGACGAAGAACCGAGTTCAGTTGGAATATGCCATTGAAGCCTTATACACCACTCAGGAAGCCAGGTTTGCAACAAGAGTAAGACTCAGTTAATGTGACATTTTGGAATATTAGGTGCTTCAAACTGAATCTTATCAATATTTAGTCGTATGAAGCGCATCGGTGGCAAAGTGGTTAGCACTCTCGCCGACCATGCGCATGGTCCGAGGTCCGATCCCCTGCCGGCGCACACCTGATATCTGTGGTCGGCCTGCAAAATTTGGGCTACCGATATCCATACTGAAAATTCCATACTTGTACCAAAAATACAGTGTGGAATCAAGCTGCAATAAAAAAAAGTGATAATCAAAGCAAATTTTCAGCGAAGCTATTTATTGTATTTAGGAATCTAAGCACATCATTGTCAACATGTATTATCATTTCCGTCCTCCTTTTCCGTTCCTTTTGAAGCAACAGCGTACATAAACTTGACTCATACTCTGTTGAATTTTTTAAACGGTGACTAACCAAAATACTGCAAGCCACTCGTATGTGTAATCCTACTATTCTGTGTTATAATTTAGATTGTTCTAAGCCCTTCTCCTCATAGAGTACATCATAGATAGTGGACGCGAGAGTATTGTATATCTTGCCTCAGAATATTCCAGTAGACTACTTTATTGATTGTGATTTCTCTGTCGCTTTTATGCAAACAATAACTATCTTTCTTGAAAACTTGGAGCTATTCATTTGGTGATGTTGTCATTTAGTATATTTGATGAGATAGATTATTCGTTATGATAAAATGGGAAATCGACAGTTGACAAGTGGCAATACTTGAGTATTGACTATACACTGTTTTACCTTTTCCTAGTCAGTTATTTTAATACCGATTGTTGCGTTAAGACTGATCCGGCTGACTCGCTCCTGTGAGTTTGGGAAATAGCGTGTTCTGTAATTTGACAAGTGATCTTTTAATAATGCCCAAAGTCGTCTGTTTATATAAATTTTAATTCAAACTGATTTACGTGGAAGATTTCCCCAGTGAACTCGGCCATGAAGCTACATAGTGTCAGGGGTGATAGTATTACCCAATTGCTGAAGTGAAACGGCATTCGAACACAATATGAATTTGTTCATAGTCAAGTGTTTAGGCCAATGAGCCACATTCCAACACATAAATTTTGTTAACTATAAAAATAAAATAAATCCCCTTAAAATTGTATATAATTCATGGTTCTCCTGTTGTATGCCTTGTGATGTCAGAATCCGAGAAGCTCATAGTCAGCGTTTACCTTGAAAAAAGTTCGGTTAGGGGGATGTTAGTAATCACTCAAAATCTGGCTATCGTTGCCATTGATCAAGTTTATAATTTTATCTCCTTACTATATCCTTATGGTATTCTTTTCCAGCGTTCTAAACATATTTTTTTACTGAGTAATGTAATGTAATATAAAAAACTTCCCGCGTATAACTATATGCACCAAGCGTAAGACAGTAATATTATTCATCTGTTAGATTCCTAGTGCGGCATAGTACTTTGGCAGCACGTCGCCATTTCACACCCTGTTCTCTCCTGCTTTTTAAAGCTGTCTCCACGGATTTCCGCAAGCTTTCACTTTCCCTTTGACATAATCCTTTCCATGTCACCCTGGGATACTCGACTCATCGTTCGCTCCGATAGAAGACCTGATGTGTGACAGCCCATGAAGGTTTCTTTGGTGTGTCTGATTCATTTTTATTTCCTTCTGCATGTGCTGGACAATAGAGTCTTAGTTGGTTCATTGACAGAGTTCCTTCTTGATTATTTTTTTAATACATTTCTAGCTTGTGTATCGAGTGAAGATAGCTGTTGATGAATGTTTTCAGCTGGTCTTTGGGAATGCTTTTTCGTGATGTACCAATTCTCTGAAACACGGAAGCAGTAACATAACACTAGTGTTGAGCATTATTACTTTGTTTTTCGAAAGTGGAAGACATGAAAAGACTGGCTAGCTGTCTTCGATCATAGGTGCCTGCGTTCTCTCTCCCATGTGAAGTAGTGGTGTAATAGAGTGAACGATATTGAGGTTAGGCTTCGGTCGAGTGCTAGGCGAGGAGGAGGGGAAATCAATAGACGACGTTGTGAAGTTACACCGATTGAGATAGTTAGGACATGTGTTACGTATGCCTACCTAGCCATCGCCTTCCTCGATAGTGGGCAATGTTAGCTGATATAGGATTGGTCAGGTTGGAAAAGAGAGAGCTAGTGGTGGTCAAACCAAAACATGGCTTTATCAGTCAATGAAATCCACAACAGTTAGTTTAAGTCACGTTGGAAAGTGTAAACTTCCTGGTTGGGATCCTCGGAATGGCAAAAACCAATGAAGGCTGGAGAAAATTGGTGATATGGCTCAAAGTGATCGTTCTCAATGGCTGGCTGGCGCAGATGCATCCACTCCTTGTGACTTATAATATCCAATAAAACTATATTGTTCTTCGATATTACTATTCTTTTTGCCTCATGTCTCTGTCTACTGTCTCTATTTCGCATTTCTTCTACTTTCTTCCGTTACTTTGTGTGCTGAGTGAAGCGTGGCGACTCGAACTGCTGCGCATCGGTGCCTAGTTCTATGTTGTTCGTTGTGTTGAGTGCTATAAATTTGTACGCCGCTTTCAGAGTGATGCACATCTGTCTTGCTTTTCCGATCCTGACTGGATTTTGGATCCTTATCTATACTGTGTCGCCTTTAGTTTAAATGATGCTGTCTAGCTGACTGACAGAAACGACTTCCATTAATTAGATTTCTCGTGTTGATGGTGAAATAGTGACATGGTATTAAGCACTGCAAAAAACTGAATTTCTTGGTTCATGTAGATCATTTCTCATAACTGTAATGTAAGCAGCTTTGTTAATACTTCTAAAACTCTATGACATTTACCATTATATAACTATTTGAAGCGCTTTCCCTGGTAGTGTAAATAAGTTGAGCGTTATTACATATATAAATGTATTGAATAAGATTAGTCACCTGTTTCAAGATTGCGTATTTAACTCTTATTATCGACCAGTGAGATTGCCAGCCCTGCCATGATTATCGACTTACTAATCTCTCTACTTTCTGGTCAGAAAGTTTTACTTATATTCACTGTTATTATTAGTATTATTAGATTGTAAGAGTTAGAGGTAATGAAACTAAAACCTTACATCAGTCCATGAAGTTTTTTGCAGTTGGTTTAAGGTAGCTACGTAGGAAGATGTAGAGTGCCTGGTTAGGGTCCTCAGGAATGCTAAGAATTACCGGTTAGAGACTGTTAAAGATACGGCTCAGAATAATTCTCGATAAAGCAGGTTTTCAGTGATCTCCCATATCCGCTAAAAAGTTCATGTTTTCCCATGTTGCTATTCTTCACCCCCCTACCTAACATTTCTGCTTGTTGTAATTGTTGTGTATCCCCTTTTTCTTTCTCTCGTGTTAGATGGTATAGTAACTTGAGTGATGTTGAGGTTAAGCCTCAGTGGACTGCTAAGTAGAGAGGTTGAAATCAGTTGACGAGGTTGTAAGACCACATCGATTGAGATGATCAGAACATGTGGTACGCATCCCTAACCATCGATCGCCTTCCTCGACACAAGCAATGTTAGCTGACATAGGATTGGTCAGGTTGGTGATCAAACCAAAACATGGCTTCATCAGTCAATGAAATCCATAACAGTTAGTTTATGCTGGCCACGTAGGGAGGTGTAGACTGCCTGACTGGTTGAGGTTCTCGGAATGGTAAGAATCAATGACCGCTGGGGACAATTGGTGATATGACTGAAAATCATCGGCAATGGCTGGCGCAGATGCATTCGCTCTTTGTGATTTATAATATCTAATAAAGCTTTGTTGTTCTCCCATATTACTATTTTTTGTCATTTCCTACTTCTGTATTATGTCTCTTTTGAATCTCTCTTTACTTTCTTTTTTTGCTTTGTGTACTGCATGGAGGGAGTGTGGCAACTGAAACTGCTGCACATCTGTGCAAAGTTCTACGTTAAAGCCAGTCAGTCTTTTTCTTTCTCCCCTTCTACCTTTGTGTGTTACATAGAGTATGCAAAGCTGAGGTGGCGCACTTCTTTGCAAAGTTCTACGTTGAAACTCAGTACTCACTACTATTCTGATTGGACACTAGTCAGTGTAACTAGTGTGACGTGTCTAGTCCCCTTTGTTTGGTGCAGACTGAATTCTATCAGTCAGTCAAGTTTACAATGTGGCCACCATGCTAGCTAGGTAGCTCACCATCACGGTGCATATTGATTTTGATGATATTAGGTAGGTTGGAGGCTATCGGCGACAGGAAGCCTCACCTGACCTAGATTTCATGCTAGTTTGCACTCCCCAGTCAACCAGCAAGGCATATCTGCAGTCACCTTGAAGGAACTCATTTCCCTTCTGTGAGATTCGAACCCGCGTCATCCAGTGCCATCTGCAGTCAGCCGATTGCCTCCAATTAGCTATTATCACTACTATTCTATTATTTACTTGTTTAAATTTCCTAAATGTGAATTTTTTTCTATATTTTTAATCATTTTTGGATTGAAAATGTGTACAATACTTATACGATTTATTTTATATATATTTATTCATTTATTTACAGTTTATGAGTGAAAAGATTGGCGGCGCAGAAGGTACAAAATTAGACGATGAATATTTGGAAATAGAAAGAGTAAGTCGTCTTTAAATTTCTTCGCCTTGTCTAACCAATGACTAGAAAGTGGATACAATCTCTAAACTATTTGAAGATGTTATGGCACAAACTCATGAATTTCTTCAACCTAATCCAGCCCACCGTGCTAAGCTGATGACAATGAACACGTTGAATAAATTACAAGGGAAATCAAAGAATGCAGCCTATCCGCAGCCTGAAAATCAGCTGGGTGAATGTATGGTAAAATATGGTCGTGATTTGGGACCTGATTCATGCTATGGTATGTGTGTTTATTGTCGTTTATCAATTCGCATTTTAAGTTTGTATTAATATTAATATTGTTATTATTGTTATTATCATTATTATTATGTCCTTTAATTCCTAGAGGAACATAGGGCTTCATTTGCGCGTCTCCATTGCCTTCGGTTTTCTGCCAACGTTTTCACCCCGCTCCAAGTCTGCCCACATGCTTTCATCTCCTCTTCACATGACCTCCTCTAAATCACCCTTGCACTGACGACCAACTCGCCGCTTCCCTTTCGGGTTCCACTCGAGCATTGGCTTGTCTAGTGATGTCACTTGCTGGTTTCCCCAGCGTATGGCCAATCCATCTCCATTTCTTCCTGCCTATTTGTTTCACAATCGGTTCCTGGTTGGTTCGTTCATTGACAGAGATCCTTGTTGCTGATCTTTTCTGACCGGCCATCTGATTTTGGGTAGTATTGAGCGAAGACAACTGTTCATGAAGATCTGTAGTTTGTTTGAGATGCTCTTTATGACGCGCTGGCCAAGTCTCTGATTCGTATAGTAGCACTGACTTCACATTGGAGTTGAAAATCCGGATCTTATTTTTTATGGTGAGTGCTGTTGATCTCCTCCATGCAGACTTATGAGTAATGAAAGCTTGTCTTGTAGGGATTTCATCATGAGTTGACATTGGTTAGAGAACCATTGGAAAACTTGGAGGAAGTACTGGACAGCTGTATTGTCCTGGTTTGGGACTCTTCATCAGTACGCACGCTATAATAATAATAATGAATAATACCAGTCAAGGCCGAAACTGGTTTTGATAGATAAGTTGAGTCATTTAGCTCAGGATCCTCCATTATTCTGAAAACTTTCCCCCGAGTCTTACTATCAGCCTTATGATGTTGATATGAGTTCCAGATTTGATTACATGTACACTAATTGCTAATAGCTCGTGCGTCGGTGGCGCAGCGGTAGAGTGCTCGCCGATCACGCAGGTGGTCCGGGGTTCGATCCCCGGCCGACGTACTTTTTTACCTGAGTAAGCCAATAATAAGACTGGCAAAGAATGAAAGTTGGGCATGGGCCAGCAACTCCATCCTGTAAAGTTATCACCACTGTTACCGAAACTTCAAGCCTCTAGCTTCAAGTCGCCCTGTGTTCCACTGGGAGCGTAAAGGAATTAAAAAACCAATAACTCAGATTATCCAAGACTCTCAAACCAATGAAGACCCAAGAAGACTTCGTTTCATATTGACAATGTAGAAACTGTTTTTTATAGTATTGTATATAGTGTTGCAAAATAAAGCCACACTAAAAAAGGCTTTCCTACCAGTGACAACTGCCTGCAGTTTGAAGTCTTCTGAATTCGGAGTTGTCCGATGTTCAACTATTAGTTGATGCTGCAACGAACCGTGACGGCACTGAAATTGTAATTTATATAAAAAATTAGAAATTTTTGGTGGTCACGTGGATACTACTGTGAAGCAAAGCTATGTGAGGCTAAGAATGGGATCTTGGCCAACAATTGGAGGGATGATAACTGTGAGCGTCTTTGTGTGTATGTGTAGATGTTACTGGTAAAGGCTATCTGTGTGTGTCCAGCATCATGACAGTCTGTCGACATCGATGTTGTTTATGCGGGAACAAGTTTTGATAAAATGCCAAGCACCACAATGTCAGCAGGATGATTCAGGTGTCTTGTTTTTGAGCTTCTCTTGTTATTGAGTGAGTAACTGGGACGGATGGACCGTCTAAGTAGGACAGGAGGTGTTTGATCAGAGGTCAATGTCGGGGGGGGGTATATAATTTCGGTTGAACTGCATATCCTTCCTAACCACAATGGAGTCTGGATTGAATTAAACTTGTATCATAAGGGAAGTTTGTCTTTTGTTGATATTCACACTAGTGTAATGTCATTTAGTGTGTACGACAGTCGGATCTTGTTCCAATCGGATCAGCAACTTTAGGTATCTATAGGCTTCAGGGCTGGAAACTTTGTTTTTCAGTTTTAGTAGCGGCAGTGTTATTTGTACCAGGTGGGGTCACTAGCCTCATACAACCAATCTTCTGTCTTTTCCAGGTTTACTACCTTGCTAGTGTAAACTAGGCGAAGTTTTTTAAGCGTGCATCATCTGGGTGTCGAACTCGGACCACTTGCTTGGCTGGCAAGTGTCTTATAATTGAGCTACAGACTCATGCGCATTATTTACTATTTACCCTGTAAAAATTAGTGGCAGTGTAACTTGTTGGCTTAAGCACTACTAGGCTTCTAATCAAGAGATTTCATATTTGTATCTCCCTCCTGGGCTTTCGGGTGGTAGTCTGTCTGTCTGTCTGTTTTCGACATAGAACTTTGCACCGATGTGCTGCAGTTCAAGTCGCCACACTCCCTCCTTGTAACACATAAAGCAAGAGAAGAAAGTAGAAGAAATGCATAATAGAGACAGTAAATAGAGGTATGAGACAAAGGAATAATAATAATGAAGAACGATATAGTTTCATTGGAAATCATAGGTCACAAGGAGTGGATGCATCTGCGCCATTTAGAACGATAGCTACTACCTTGATGTGGTGGTCGGGCTTGCACATCGCAATGACCCAACAAGCTACACTGGCTGGGACCAGTGTTGGTTCCTGCAGGTCCTACCATGCCAGGAAGGTTTTTAGGATAGCGATTAGACTAAAAGCAGTTACTGGAATTGTGCGAGAATCTTCTTACACTATGCTGGGGATCTGAGGGCAAAGTCGTACTGCTGGGGAACAGGGGTGTGGCAGCAGTGAGGTTTCCTTGAGATGACCAGCATGCCAGCCACCTATGCTGTCTCTCCACTCCGGAGAGAGAGGATTAGAAAAGGTCGACCCCAACAACTGTCCGTTACCGGCGGTGACTTTACTAATACGGAATCAATTTAAAAAATCCAGTTCATACAGGCCGTGTGTGACCAGCCTTAAGCAGTTGTCTCCTGGGCTCTGCGGTCACGCAACACTCTTTCTGTTTCAGGTACCCAAAGAATCAATCAACTTCCACGATGTGGGCAGCCGGGAAGTAACAACCGCCTACACACTTCCAAAAGCCCACGTAGCCTTCCTGAGCATCATTCTTGTTTTCGGGTGGTAGTACTCCCAGGCCTTATACAATGGGGGTGTATCGCATAATCAGGTACCGGGTAACACTAACTAGTCTTAAATTATGGATTTACGGATTTGATATCTGATAAAAACTACGTCGTTGTGTTTTTGCTGCTGCTAGGATGAATATGACAGTTGTATTAGTAAATAGTGATATACTTGAGGCATGACTCATTGTCTACTATGCAAACTTTTTTTAAGTAACTGATTCACGCATATATATTTTTATAAAAATTATAATAATCAATCCAATATATAAAGCAGCATAATGCAACATGACTCCTACACATTTTTGCCTTACTAAATTATTTATATGCTAATTATGATGTTGTCCCCCTTCCCTCCACCCCCCCCCAACTCCTTACGCCGTATGATAAAGCTGATTAATTAACTTCTTTTGAGTACTAATCAGTAAGTGAATGGATTAGCCTAAGGTTTATCGATTCAGTAGATGATATACTGGTAGTCATATCTATTATTATTATTATTATTATTCTTTTTATACCAACTGGAATATTAATTCCGTCTATCATTATTAATGTTCTGATTCTTTTACACGTTCCCAGTGGAACATATGGGGGAGGGCTTCAGACTTTAGATTGGAAGTTTCATTAGCAGTAATGTTTATTTTTATGGGGTGGGGTTGCTAGCCTCAACCTGGCCAAACCTTCCCTCTTTGTCAGGATTGTAACGGGCTAAGAGAGGTAAAGGCGGTGTTCGCCGGCGGCATGGTTGGTCGGCAGTCTATCGCTGAATCACCGACGCACACATGTTTTGTTACTGAATAATTACTACTGATAGATTAAAATAGGGCACGTCTCCATAGCCTTCTGTTCTCTGCCAATATTTTCACCTGGAAACACGTCTGCCGACATGCTTTCATCTCCTCTTCACATAACCTCTTCTGTGTCACCCTCACACTGATGACCAACTCTCCACTTCCCGTTCAGGTTCCTTTCGACCGATGGCCTGGTGTGTGATGTCGCCCACTTGATGGTTTGTTTTCTCAGAGTATAGTTAATCCAATCCACCTCCATTTCTTCCTTAATGTTTGTTTCACAATTGGTTCCATCTAGGTTGGTTCGTTCCCAGAGGTCCCTGTTGCTGATCTTTTCTGACTGGCCATCTGATCTTGAGTAGTATTGAACGAAGGCAGCTGTTGATGAACGTGTGTAGTTTGTTCGATGTGCCCTTCGTGACGCGGCGCCAAGTCTCTAATCCGTATAGTAAGTAGCACTGACTTCACATTGAAGTTGAAAATCCTGATCTTATTTTTGATGCTGAGTTGCTTTTGATCTCCTCCACACAGGTTTGAGAGTAATGAAAGCTTGTTTGACTTTCTTTCCCGATTCTCGGTTTGATATCCTCGTCAGTTCCGTCAACTTGTAGTTGAAACGACGCTTCCCAGGTAGGTAGATGGGTAGAGGAGGTTGCTTCTTTCAGATTCCTCCCATTTATGGTGACTGTTGTCTGTTGTTGTTGCTGTTGGTGTTGACCAGGAATCTTCATCACCTCTGTTTTCTCTATGTTCACATGAAGTCCTATCTTTGATGCTTCTTCTATCGTCAACTTGTTGCTTTTCACTTGCATATCTTCCAGTTTGTGTGAAATCAGACATCTATATGTTATCGGCGAAGTTCAGATCCTTCAAGTTTTTTGCACTTACTCTATATTGTATTCGCGTCAATGTCACAGCGGTAAAATGCCCGCTAACCACGCCTTATATGGTTCATGGGTTTGATTTCCGTCCACAGACGCACTCCTTTACTTCGCTAAACCAATATTAAGACTGGTAAAGAGAGAAGGTTGGGCATGAGGCTGGCTAGCAACCCTATCCCATAAAGATAAATAAACACCACTACTACTGAAACTTCAAGTCTCTAGCTTGAAGCCTCCTATGTTCCACTGGGAGTGTCATTATTATATTATTATTGTTCCCTTGGGTTCCTAGTGGAACATAGGGCTTCAACTTCACGTCTCCACTTGATTCTGTCTTCAGCTGCTGTACTTGTCACCTGCATACATGTTAGTTCATACTGTTTCGACTTCTCTTCACACGATCTCCTCCATGTCACCCTTGCACTGACGTCCCACTCGCCGCTTCCCTCTTTTTTGGCCTGGTTCCACTCGAGAAATGGCCTGACACGCGATGTCATCCAGCCGCCTCCTCAGCCACGAGTGTCCAATCCATCTCAATCTATTTTCTCCTGAATATTTGTTGATTGGCGATTGGTTCTTGTTTTGTCTGTTACCATAGTTTCTTGTTGATGATTCTTTCCGGCCCGGCCATCTGATCTTCAGTATAGATCCAGCGGAGACAGTTGTTGATAAAGGTCTGCATACAACAGACTGCTGAAAATATTCTTTGTGACCCGCCAGCCAAGTTTCTGATCCGTATAGAAGAACTTACTGACTTGACGTTTCTGACGTATTGAAAATCTGACTGAATTTTGTTGTTGGTGCTGGCTGAGTGACAAAGATTTCCAGATTGGTTTCAGGTTGATGAATGTGTTTCTCGCCTTCCCGATTCTCGATTTGACCTTCTCGTCCGTTCCGACGGCGTGTAGTTGAAACAATGCTACCTAGATAAGTGAATGAAGTAGCCTCTTTCAAATCCCTCCCGTTGATGGTGATTGGCGCTGGATGTTGTTGTTGTTATTGTTGGTTGGTTGTTTATTTTGATAACCTCCGTCTTGTGTATGTTCACCTGGAGTCCTGTCTTCGCGGGCTGCTTCTTCGACCAGTTTGTCGGTCGGTTTTCACTTGTAAGTCTTCGATTTTGTGTGACATCAAGCATAGATCATCCACGCGTGAAATCCAGGTCTTCTAGGTTCTTCACGTCAGTCGGTCCACGATATCTCTGTCTTCTCGTTTCCCACTCACTGTCTGACGCATAATCCAGTCAGTCCACCACAATTAGGAATATCATTGGTGATAATAAGCAGACGCCCTTGTCTGACTCCTGTGTTTACTGTAAATGCCCCGCTGAGTTTTCCGATGTGGATCACTTGACATGTGCCGTTGTCGGCACATAATATGTGTATTTTTTGATTTTCGATTTTTGATTACAGCTTGATTCCATAACCGTATTTTTGGTACAAGTATGGAATTTTCAGCATGTGATATCGGTAGCCCAAATTGTGCAGGCCGCGACCATAGATATCAGGTGTGTGTCAGCAGGGGATCGAAACTCGGACCATGTTCATGGTCGGAGACAGTCCTAACCACTGTGCCACCGACGCACAGCCATCATAATGCCTTATTATGACAATAAGCTGAGTAGAATACATTCATTATTATTATTATTATATCATCATCATCATCATCGCCATCATCATTATCATTATCGTCATTTCTGTTCAAGTTTAGACATAAACAAAAATAGATCAGTTTTAAATACTTTGCCAAACAATGCGAATACTGTCAGTCATATAATATCAATTAGGTCTATTGTATTGTCTAGACGTCGTGCGATTATATTTTATATTTTAATGGATAGATGTTTGGTTGAAACTAAAGTTACCAGTGGAATTTTTTAGGCATTCCGTTCATCATTTCGTTTGACCATTCTACGTGTAAGGTACTTAAGATGATCTGGTATCACTCTCAGTCCTTACTACTCTCCCCACCTTAATCTTTCCTGGGTTATTTAAGAAAAACTTTATTATACTCTGAGGTTGGTGCTGGTTGTTGTTGTTGTTGCAGTGGATTGATGACGATAACCAATCACCATCAACGGGAGAGATTTAACAGAGATTGCCTCCTTGCTTCACTTATCTGACCAGGAAGCATCGTTTTAACTACAGGATTCGCTCCCGCCAAATGCAAGATGATGTTACAGGACTGGACTACATCGACGCCTAGTTTAAAAATAGGAAGTGAAGTGGTAGAGCACGTTGACCGCTTCACTTATTTGGGAAGTACCATCAGCCAGTGCCAACGGGTTGATCTCTGACGAAATCTCAGCACGAATACAAGGGGCTCGTTTCGCATTTGTTAGTTTACGCCGACTCTGGCGTAGACGAGATGTTCGACTATCGACCAAAGGGCGGGTGTACTGCTCATCAGTCCGCTCCGTCCTCCTTTATGGTTGTGAGATCTGGCCACTGAGAGTGGAAGACATGAAAAGACTAGCTGTCTTTGATCATAGGTGCCTGCGTTCTATTTCCCGTGTAAAGTGGCATAATAAGGTGAGCAACATTGAGGTTAGGCGTAGAGTTCTAGGTAAATATGGGAAATCAATCGACGAAGTCGTGAAGCTACATCGACTGAGATGGTTAGGACATGTGTTACGTATGCCAAGCCATCGCCTCCCTCGACAATGAGCAATGTTAGCGGATATAGGGTCAGGCTGGAAAAAAGCTAGCGGCGGTCAAACAAAAACTTGGCATCAGTCAATGAAATCCACAACAGTTGGTCTTAGCCACGTAGGAAGGTGTAAACTTCCAGGCTGGTGTCCTCGGGACGGTAAAAATCTATGGTTGGAAACAATTGGTGACATGGCTCAAAATCGTTCTCAGTGGCGCAGATGCATCCACTCCTTGTGACTTATGATCTCCAATGAAACTGTTTTGTATTTCTTTATTACTCCTTTGTCTCACACCTCTGCTCACTGTCTCTATTATGCTTTTCTTGTACTTTCTTCTCTTGCTTCGCGTGCTAAACGGAATGTGGCGACTTGAACTTCCGCACATTTGTGCAAAGTTCTATGTCGAAAACAGACAGACAGAGACAGAACTACAGGAAGTGGGAACGGACGAAGATGTCAAAGTCAGCCAGTCAGAATCGGTAAGGCCGAGATACGCCTTCATCAACCAACCTGAAATCAATTTGGAAATCTGCCGAAACCCATTCAGCTTAAAGAACAAGATTCGTTGGGATTTTCAACACCAATGTCAAATCAGTCCTTCTATTACAGGTCAGAAATTTGGCTAATGTGTGTCACGTAAAGGATTTCCAACAGGTTATGTCAGAATTTTTATGAACAGTTGCCCACTTCACTGGCTCCATACATACTGAAGGTCAAATGACCGGCAAGACAGAATTAGTAACAAGAAATTCTGACTGGCTGGGAATAAACCAACCAATCGAGTCGATCACTCAACAGATGATATGTAGAAGAAAATGGAGATGGATTGATCGTGCACACACCATTGAGGAGGCCGTCGAATAACACCACGCACAAGTCAGGCCATCACTCGAGTGGAATTCCAATGGGGGGGGGAACAACGAGTGTGTCGTTGGTGAGACGTTGAAATGGAGGAGATCGTGTGGCGAGGTGATGTGAGACATTATGGCCAATCATGGACACCCAGCTGAAGAGGATGGCAGAAAGTATAAAAAAGTGGAGATATTTTGTTGAAGCCCTATTTTAGACTCGGAACCCAAGGGAACAATAATAAATAATATAATATAATAAAACTCTACAATTGGTGGATGGTGGCTAGCAGTGGAATCCAGGATGCGCATTTCGTCCTACTTGGGACTCGTCAGCTGGATGTACCTGCATTTCTCAGTGAGTGATGATGTTCCCACTGAGGCTCGAACCCAGTGCCCATAGTTTCAAACGCCAAAGCGTTATCCACTAGACCAATTGGGCCACGAGAGCCACCTCTTGTGCAACGGGTCATATTAATTATTGAATTGAGACCGAGCACTTCGGTCCAATCAATCGACGGGAAAATCAAAAATTCAATTCAATAATTAATATGACCCGTTGCACAAGAGGTGGCTCTCGTGGCCCAAGTGGTCTAGTGGATAACGCTTTGGCGTTTGAAACTATGGGCACTGGGTTCGAGCCTCAGTGGGAACATCATCACTCACTGAGAAATGCAGGTACATCCAGCTGACGAGTCCCAAGTAGGACGAAATGCGCATCCTGGATTCCACTGCTAGCCACCATCCACCAATTGTATACTAATTAAATGCCCAGACATTGTCGAGGCATCTGCACAAGAAGCCGACATGTCAACCTGAGACCGAGCACTTCGGTCCAATCAATCGACGGGAAAATCAAAAATTCAATTCAATAATAATAAAATTCTGCTTGTAGCACACGTCAATTCATGTGTTGAACTTAAAATACAAGGTGAAGATCACCTGGTTTAGCTACCCGTTAAACTTAACTATAACTGGGGGTAAAGTTCATTTTTGTTAACCTCTAATATCCGAAGTAGAGCACATATTAAGGCCTTATTATAAGGTACATGTGTTATCGTTGTTGGACAATTTCAATTTCAGTATTAAGCGATGAAGTACCATCCAATTTTTACATTCCTCGAGTTGCTTGCCCCACATCCAATGGGCCTAATACCGACTAGGCGAGGTTAAGAAGTGCTTCAGTGGTAAGGAGTCAAGTCCGGACCATTTGCATGGTTGGCAGGCGAGCCTTCTACCCATCGAATCACTCTCACCATCCATCCATCCATCGAACTAACCAAGCAATTACCCAGATTACTTTTTTATTTCATTTTTCTCTTAGGCCAATGTCTTGTACAAGCTGGTGAATCATTCAAATATTTAGCTGAAATCAAGTATACTATGGAGGAGCATGTGAAAGAGAATTTCTTGGATCCTTTACACAGTGTACAAACCCACGAGCTGAAAGAAATCAATGTAAGTTTTAAATTGTATTCATTTTTCTTTAGAGCAAGAATTTGAATGATGTTCGATCTGTTTTTTTTGTGAATGTTTTTCTGATGTATTCCAGTTTCATCATTTGAAGCATGTTTTATGTGCCTCAGATATTTGATCTCCCATCCCCCCGCCCATTTTTTTGAGTAGTTAATTTAACAACCAACCACTTGTTATGCTATTTCATGCATTTAGCTATGAGCTACACCTCTAGCTTTGGAGTTTAGTGATACATGCAAACTGAGTGCCCATAACCCTATTAGGTGGTGGAGTGAAACAAAGTTCGCACCCGGCGACCCACTTCTTAAGAGTGGAAGACATGAGAAGATTAGCTGTCTTTGATCATAGGTGCCTGCACTCTATCTCCCGTGTGAAGTGGTATAATAAGGCGAGAAATATTGAGGTTAGGCGTTGAGTGCTAGGTAGGTGAGAGAGGAAAATCAATCGAAGAGGCTGTGAAATTACCTCGACTGAGATAGATAGGACATGTGTTACGTATGCACCACTGGTCATCGCCTTCCTCGATAGTGGGCAATGTTAGCTGACTTACGATGGATCAGGTTGGAAAAAAGCTAGAGGTGGTCAAACGAAAACACGGCACCAGTCAATGAAATCCACAACAGTTAGTTTATGTCATGTAGGAAGGTGTAGACTTCCTGACAGACTGGTTGGGGTCCTCGGGACAGTAAAAACCAATGACAACTGGAGACAATTGGTGATATGGCTCAGAATCGTTCTCAATAGCGCAGACGCATCCACTCCCTATGACTTATGATATCCAATGAAACTATATTGTTCTTCGTTCGTTATTACTATTCCTTTGTCTCACACCTCTGTTCACTGTCGCTATTATGCATTTCTTCTACTTTTTTCTGTTGCTTTGTGCGTCGGTGGCACAGTGGTTAGGACTCTCGCCGACCATGCACATGGTCCGGGTTCGAGCCCACGCCGACGCACACCTGATATCTATGGTCGGCCTGCAAAATTTGGGCTACGATATCCATGCTGAAAATTCCATACTTGTACCAAAAATACAGTGTGGAATCAAGCTGTAAATCAAAAAAAAAAAAAAAAAAAAAAACAAAAAATACATGTAGTGTGGCGATTTGAACTTCCGCACATCAGTGCAAAGTTCTATGTGAAAAACAGACAGACAGACCCACTTGTTGAAGGTCGGATGCGCATACACCCATGAGCCATAGCTCCGTCACTTACATTACCGTCTGTTAAATATTTGTTGATATCCTGACTAAGTGTAGTTTTTATGATTTGACGAACATTGGGTTTTGGATAAGGGAGATAGTTATAATCTTAAAATGTCATATTTCTTACTTGATTAATGGTGTCTTTTTCATTTCTCGGAGCACAATGAATTTCAAAATAAATAAATTTGTAGGCGTTTGTAACCAATCATATTGGAAACCTATAAATTATCAAGTTTTTATGAGGCTGTATACAATTCTGCATGAGGTCGATTGCTTCATGTGAATCGCTGAATATTGGGTGACATGGTTTTGAATTTTTTTAGTGGGCATCATTTCTTTTGAATTAGCAAATATTATGCTTTGTAGACGAATGACTGTGATAAGGGAAGTTCAACTCCAGGGCATCCTGCTGTAACGACTACCTCAAACCATCTAATATCAATGGTAGGGATGGTTGACAGCCACACGGAAAGTCCGAGTTCGACCACCCTCCCTCCTCTGATCCACTTATAAACCACGCCTAGTGTTTGAAAATTAGTAGTAAGCTGGAGATATTCCACTTATCTGTACGTATTACTGTGATTCAACTGAAGTAGTCGTACCTTCTTTGCCGCTGAAATCGAATGCCACTTCAATGCTTCATGGAAATAGGTCAGCGTGTAATCTATCTATCCATTATGTTATTCTGGTTGATAGTGACTGGGCAATGGAATCCAGGATATGTGTGTTTCGTTGTATTTAGGACTCGTCAGCTTTGTATACCTGCATTCTTGGTGTGTGTGATGGTGTCCCACACGTATATTCAGTTGACAAATCCCAACTAAGGAATGATCGCTCATCCTGGATCCCACTGCTAGTCACTATCAACATGTCAACAGAAACGGAGCATTTTGGTTCGACAGCAGTATGATTGCATAAAATGATTGGAAATGCGGTAGAATAATAAGTGGTCACTACTCAGTTTGACGTTAAATGCCTAGTAAATAACATGTTGGTGAAGGCGTGACTCTTTTGGTTTAAGCTCTCAACTTTAACCAGTTTTCCTCAGATTCGAATCTTGCTCAATCTATTTCATGCATAGACAACTAAGTCGTAACAGTATCACTTATACAACAGATGTGGCTCATAGCTAACTACTATATGAATAACATTTTGTCTCCTAACGTTAACTAGTTATAAAGTTTGAATTTAGTATTACTACTCGTGTGTGTAGAGAGGTAATGTAAATTTCGTGGAAGCACGAATCCTGCTATCTTGTGTTACCTTGACCTGGCCCTTATTCCTCTTTCAACTATCATTTATTACAGAAATATATTTTTTGATATCAATGTGCTTTGGTTCAGTGGTGTCTAGGCGCTCAACTTCCAGCCTGAAGGGTTGTGTGTTCGAGTCCCACTCCACCCAACGGGTGAGGTTTGGGCACCTGGGTAGTATAAATCACTAGTTCTCACACACGATAGGTGTGCGTGTGTGTGTGCATGTAGTTTTAGAGCAACATTATAACATACATTTCATTGGACACTAGTAACTAGTGTGATGTATCTAGTCCCCTTTGTTTGGTGCAGACTGAATTCTGTCAGTCAGTCAGATTTGCAGTGTGGCCACCATGCTAGCTAGGTAGCTCGTCATCACGGTGCATATTGATTTGATGATATTAGATAGTTGGAGGTAATCGGCCAAAGGAAGCCTTGACTGATAGAATTCAGTCTGCACCAAAGAAAGGACTAGACACATCACACTAGATACTAGTGTCCAATGAAAATACCCACTATAGTCTTACAGGAAGTTAATCACGAGCCAGACTGAACAGCTCAGTGGTGGTAACCTCTCTGACTGCAGCACTCACCGAGTGACGCGGGTTCGGATCTCAGAAGGGACATGAGTTCCTTTGAGGTTGCAGATACGCCTTGCTGACTGACTGGTGAGTGCCAACTAGCACGAGACCTAGGTCAGATGAGGCTTCCTGTGACCGATTCCCTCCAACTATCTAATATCACTATAACACGTTATCCCTGATATATTGTTGTAACAACAGAAGACAAGAGCCAGACAACAGATCGTTTATTAAGGAAATCAACACATATTTATATATTTTCATGTACATTATTATGAATTATTGTTAGCAGAAAAACACAGTCTTCTGATTGGTTGTTTCTCACAGAAAGTTGACTTGCATCTCTTTGTGGTTGTCTCTTGGATGTCAGATCATCTATATGCTAACTGTATCCGCCTACGCAAAATCTGCTGTGATTGGATGTTGAATCACTGTTTGCGCATATTTTTCTCACGACCAATATTGGGGACATAAACATTAACGTAAAATACTGTCCACTAATTTTGGCTAGTAGCCAGCTCTCACCACATTGTAATAGTATTTAGAAACAAGATACGGAAAGGCAAGATACGCCTTCACATTAACTTGAAACCAGTTTGGAAGTCTACTGCATTCAGGCAGTATAAAGAACAAGATTGGCATTTTCAACATCAATGCCAAGTCAGTCATTTCTTGCATATAGATCACAAACTTGCACTGAGTACAAGTCACGAAAAAGATTTCCAACAGGTCACAACAAACTTTTATCAACAGCACTGTACTCTGCAGTGTTGAAGCAGTTTCCAAATTACTTCTCGGTCAACGCTGTCTGTCGAAGGTTTTTTCGAGGTCGATGAAGTTAAGGTTAGAGAGGTTTGACTGCCATTCTCTATGCATAGAGTTGGAATTTGATCAACACATGATTTGCCTTTCCTGAATCCAGCTTGTTCCGGCGGGTCGGGGGAGGGGTGGCTGGCGGAGTTCTGCATCCAGTGCATCTTTTAATCTCTCCAGGATGACGTGACTCAACGCCAGTTCTTGCAGAGTGAGGTGTGAGTTGCCCTTCTTTGGTAATTTGACAAGGTAGCCAGCTTTTCTTTCATTCGGCAGCCACCTTTCCTTCCTTCTTTCAAAACCTTTTGCATTTATGGTGTGAGCAATACTGCTGCAGTCTATGAGTCCGTTATCAGTGCTTCGGGGGTTGGGGGTGGGTAGGTGGGATTCCATTTGGTCCTCTTGCCTCCCCAGCTGAACTTCAGTAGCTTGATCGTTTTCAAGATTTCGCAGTTATTGTTTGATTTATTATTATTGTTTCCTTTAATTCCTAGAGGAACATAGGTTTCAGCCGCACGTCTCCTTTGCGTTCGGTTCTCTGCCAACGTTTTCACCTGGCTTTAAGTCTGCTCACATGCTTTCATCTCCTCTTCACATGACCTCCTCCATATCACCCTTGCACTGGCGACCAACTCGCCGCTTCCCTTTCGGTTCCACTCGAGCGATGGCTTGTCTGGTGATGTCACTTGATGGTTTCCTCAGTCTATGGCCAATCCACTCCTTCCTGCTATTTGTTTCACAATCGGTTCCTGGTTGGTTCGTTCATTGACAGAGATCCTTGTTGCTGATCTTTTCTGACCGGCCATCTGATCGTGGGTAGTATTGAGCGAAGACAACTGTTCATGAAGATCTGTAGTTTGTTTGAGATGCTCTTTATGACGCGCTGGCCAAGTCTCTTATCCGCATAGTAGCACTGACTGAATTCACATTGGAGTTGAAAATCCGGATCTTGTTTTTAATGCTGAGTGCTGTTGACCTCCACATTGATTTGAGAGAAATGAAAGCTTATCTTGCTTTCGCGATCCTTGCTTGTTTAATTTAGTACCATATAATATATGCATATTATCATATACAAATCATTCAGTTACAGATGGATGATTTTTATATCATAATATGCATAAGTAATAACA